TAATACCTGACTGCAGCCCATGCTGCCCCCAAAGCCGCAACAAGCCACGCCCTCGCAAACCACGCCTGCTGCAGCAAACCACGCCCGTTACACTCCACACCACCTGCAAACCACGCCTCTTACACACGACGCCCCGCAAACCACGCCCCTTACACACCACACCCCCTGCAAACCACGCCTGCTGCAGCAAACCACACCCTTACACACCACGCGTCCCACAAACCAGTGGCAGCAGCAACCACACCCCTTACACACCATGACCCCCGCAAACCACGCCTGCTGCAGCAAACCACGCCCCTTACACTCCACACCACCTGCAAACCACGCCCCTTACACTCCACACCACCTGCAAACCACGCCCCTTACACACGACGCCTCGCAAACCACGCCCCTTACACACCACACCCCCTGCAAACCACGCCTCCCACAAACCAGTGGCAGCAGCAACCACGCCCCTTACACTCCACACCACCCGCAAACCACGCCCCTTATACTCCACACCACCTGCAAACCACGCCCCTTACACGCCACACCACCTGCAAACCACGCCCCTTACACACGACGCCTCGCAAACCACGCCCCTTACACACCACAACCCCTGCAAACCACGCCTCCCACAAACCAGTGGCAGCAGCAACCACGCCCCTTACACTCCACACCACCTGCAAACCACGCCCCTTAAACACTACGCCCCAGCAAACCACGCCCCTTACACACCACGCCCCCTGCAACCACGCCTGCTGCAGCAAACCACACCCCTTACACACCACGCCTCCCACAAACCAGTGGCAGCAGCAACCATGCCCCTTCACACTATGCCACCCGCAAACCACGCCCCTTTAACACTACGCCCGCAAACAACGCATGCTGCAGCAAACCACACCCCTTACACACAACACCACCTGCAAACCACGCCCCTTACACACTACACCACCTGCAAGCCACGCCTCTTACACACCACGCCTCCCACAAACCAGTGGCAGCAGCAACCACGCCCCTTACACACCACGCCCCTGGAAACCACGCCTGCTGCAGCAAACCACGCCCCTTACACTCCACACATCTGCAAACCAGGCCACTTGCACACTACGCCACCCGCAAACCACGCCCCCGCAAACCACGCCCCTTTAACACCACGCCCAGCAAACCAGGCCTGGTGCAGCAAACCACGCCCCTTACACACTACACCACCTGCAAGCCACGCCCCTTACACACCACGCCCTGGAAACCACGCCTACTACAGCAAACCACGCCCCCTGTTGATACAGTGGCACAGCAGCAAGCCACGCCCCTTACACACCACGACCCCCACAAACCATGCCTGCTG